ACTTGGTAAATTGATTGTCTATGTGAATTTACTTGCATGGAGTCATTATCTCATATTCTGTTGAGGTTTTGGTAACATAACTGTTTAAATAAAAGAAGTATCAACATGCTTTATTCTAAGTGTCTCTTACTCTATGCTTTACTATTTTAAATGTATATCACCCTTTTACTATAATTCGGTTCTCAAATTATATTCAACACCCTGTTGATTGGTTACCTTACTTAAATTTGTTATCACATTTCTCTTTTAACAAATTCTATATTTAATTTATTAATTTAATTGATATTTTGTTTTGTTTAAATATGACATTTTACTCAATTTTATTGATTTCTAAACTAAACCCATATGATATTCTATTTTGTATAAATTGTATTTTATTTTACTTTAATTGATTTCTATAATACACACATTATTTTATTTGACGCCTTACGTTATTCAAGATTGTTATTATGCTTTATGATTTTTAAATATAATTCTCGATCATTTTAATTGATATTTTTTATGGTTGCAATGTACATGGTAGCATGTGGGGCCTTGCCGTGTGAAGGTAATTGTTATTGTGGGCACGAGGTGCCATACGTGTAAGATTTAGAAATTGTGGTCTGTGGTTTGTGATTTACGAGGTGTGGTGGCTCGGGGTAAATATTGTTTTAGGCCCATGCGTTAGGAACACGTTGATTATTTGAGTTGTCACTGGTCCCTCCTTATTTGAGTTCATTCATATCTCATTAGTGTTCTGATTATGTTGCTTCTCAATTACCCATTTACTACATGCTGCCATTTGCATTTCTATTATTTTGTTGTTGGTTGTAAATCAATAATCTTTCCGTCGTTAGCCTTACATTGATATTCTTTCATGGTTAGATTCATGCATATCTTGTACAGGTTACTATGTCTAGTAGGTGTCTTAACCTGGCCTCATCACTATTCTACCGAGGTTATGCTTGATACTTACTAGGTATTATTGTGGTATACTCATACTACTCTTCTGCACATTTTTGTGCATATCCAGGTATTTCTGATCGTGATGTTGAGAGTTGCGTCTGCGCGGTGGAGACATCAAGGTATATCTGCCTGAAGCTCGCAGGCCTCGCAGTCACCATCTTACTTCCTTATGCTATTGCTAAGTTGTAAATTGAAACAGTATAGTATTTAGAAATTCTAGTGTATTTCAGTTGAGCTTATGACTCTATACTACCGGTTTTGGGAAATGTATAACTATTGGTCGTTTGCAGCTATGTATGTCATTTACTGGTTTATATCTAATGATTAAATAGTTCAATTCTATTATTAACTCAGCATGTGTTAGGCTTACCTAGTCTTAGGGATTAGGTGCCATCACGACATCCTAAGGTGGGAATTTGGGGTCCTGACAATTTTGCAGCTTTCTCTTCTAGTCGGAGGACAAATCATGAGGTAGCCACCCACTAGCCAAGAAATTTGCTATATCAGCATACCTTAGCGGCCTTACAGAGACCGATGCGATGGAAAACTTCTGCTGATCTGGGAACTCTTCCCTTATTTCCACAGTTTCTACATATGGTTTCTCTAATCAAGAAAGATGGTCAGCCAATTGATTCTCAGTTCCCTTCCTGACCTTGATCTGAAGATTGAACTCTTGCAACAATTACACCAACCATATCAGACGCGGTTTTGTTTCCTTATTACACAAAAAATACTTCAATGCTGAGTGGTCAGTATGCACTATCACTTTGCTTCCCACCAGATATGATCTTAATTTGTCAAAGGCAAAGACCACTACAAATAACTCTTTTTCCGTGGTAGCATAGTTTGCCTGGGCATCATTCAAAGTCTGACTCGCATAATAGATGTGCCTAAACATTTTGTCTCTTCTTTGTCCCCAACACTGCCCCCACTGCCAAATCACTGGCATCGCAAATGATTTCAAAGGGTTCGCTCCAATTGGGGGTAACCATTACATGAGCACTCACTAGTTATTCCTAGATCAACTCAAATGCTTGGAAGTACTCTACATTAAAAATGAACTTCACATCCTTGGCAAATAATGCAGTTAAGGGCTTGGTGATGCTGGAAAAATTCTTATTGAACCTCATATAAAATCCAGCGTGCCCCAAAAAACTTCGAATGCTGTTTACTGAAGTTGGTGGTGGGAGTTTAGCAATCACATCAACATTAGCTCAGTCGACTTTAATGCCTTCCGTTGTTACCTTATGACCTAAAATTATCCTGTCCTTGACCATGAAGTGATATATTTCCCAGTAGAGTACTAGGTGAGTATCTTCAAATCGTTTCAACATGAGCTCTAGATTCCTCAAACAGTCGTTAAAATCTTCCCCAAAAAGAGTGAAGTAACCATTAACACCTCCAAGCATTTCGCCTTCAAATCTGAAAATAGGACATCATACACCTTTGAAATGTAGCTGGCGCATTGCAAAGTCCAAATGGCATTCTCCGGTATGCAAAAATTCCTGATGGGCAAGTGAACATGGTTTTCCTGACGTCTTTTGGAGTAATGGGTATTTTATTGTACCTAAATAACCATCTAATAAACAGTAGCATCCACTCCCTGCCACCTTTTCCAGCATCTAATCTATGAAAGGGAGAGGAAAGAGATCCTTCCTCGTTACATCATTCAGCCATCTATAATCTATACACATCCTCCATCCAGTGACAGTTTTGGTAGGGATTAATTCATTGTCCTCATTCTTCACTACTGTCACACCCACATTTTCGGCATAATCTGTACTGGGTTGATCCATAGGTTGTCGGAGATGGGAAATATTATACCAACTTCTAGAAGTTTGAGTATCTCTTTCTGTATCACTTCCTCCAGGTATTTATTCAGTTTTTAGTGAGGTTGCGCTACAGGTTTTCTACCTCCCTCCAGAAAGATCTTGTGCAAGCAGATTGCGGTCCGAAGTGATCAAAGTACTTTTATTTGAAGGAAACCCAGACTGGGTACCGGTCCTAAGTGATTGGAGCACTTTTATTAAAATCGGCTAGTAGTTACGGTTTCGAAGCGATACTGAAGCATTTGAAATCTAAAATACCTGTATTAGAAGGTGGTTGCCTATAAAATTTGAACTTGAAATGAAATGCCCATTGTTCAGGAGGGTGCCTGAAAAATCAAGAAGTTATTTTTCCTATGTAAGAAAATTGATGAAAATAGTTCTTCTTATTTTTTGTTGTTTTCTGCATTTTTTTTGTTTTTGTAGCTTTCGTAGAGAATATTTGACAATTTGAGAAGAGTAAAGAAAGATAGTGATTTATTGACCGATCATCATTTTTTTTACTTGACTTCTATTGGTACCAATAATTAGTTTTGTGCAAAGGAATTTCAACCATATACTTTCTGGAAAACCGAGATCAGCTTATGGGTAATTCCTATAGCTTCGAGTGGTACCTCATCCATACCTACGTTCGACATGATTTGTTCATCTTGCTTCAATCAAAGGTTTTCAATTCTGCTTATCCCCATGTTTCAAGCGCCCTTACCATAAAGAGAATCCTAATTTCCACACATATTTTGAACTATTTATGTTTTTAGGATTTATTTTTAGAAGTACACTTACACTTAGAAAGATGTTCAATGCATGCAATTAAGATACCATAAGCTTGACCTTTATGATTTTTTTTTCGTTTGAGGTTTCTCCTGCTTTGCAGGAATTTATCCCTTCTTTTCTTAGAGTTCCTCTTGTTTTTTTCTCTTTACTGGATCTTCTGTTTGAACTTGTGCAAGTTTCCTCTTTTGTTGGATTCTCCTTTTGAACTGTGGAGTTTCCGCTTTCTTTCCTGAAGTCATTTCTTCGATTGTCCTAGACTTTTCATCTTTTACGTTTATATGCTTTGCTGCCTTCACTTTATTCTTCATCCGAAGTTACACATTTTTAGTGCGCGCAAGAAAGTTGGGCCAAGAGAGGGGTGGCATATTTAAGCACAAAAAAGGTATAGGCTAAGATGCGGTTGTCCAAGAAAAAAGCTTAAGGCTCAAAGGGGGGAGTGCTAGGGATTGATGTCATTTGTTCGGCTAGAAAGGCTTTATCGGGTAAAAAAAAAAGGCCTACGATCCTTTCCTAAAATAGGCGTTACTCAGGATATCGCCTCAACGGACATTCGGGCCAAGTTCTCGATCTACAATGCAGTGTAATAAATTTTAATCTAGGCTCACGACACAATGCACATAAAACGATGGGGTTGTCTTTGTTCTTACCCTAACTGTAAGAACAAGCTTTTTCAAGCATCACTAAGGCTCAATTAAAAGGTTACCACAGTAGTTTATGATTTACCCGATGCTGGTCCTCTCCATCATAATATTTAACATTTGTTCTTTCCCATGCACACTCTTAACTATGTTAGTACCAACCAAGTCAATATATCGATGATGATTTTTCTTCTTCTTCTTTTTTCTTTCATTTTTTGATTTTTGGTAATTGAGACCAAACACGAGGAAGGGTTCCCTTTATTTTATTTTTTTGACTTAATAGTTTTTTTTTGTTGTAAAAATGAGACTGAACCTGAAGATTGCCTACGTATCTTGTTGAAATGAGAATCAGATCAACAATGATTTAGGAAGATTAGAAAAAGAAAGAAAATATTTTTAGATTTTCATTTCATTTCATTTCATTTTTTTATTTTTGAATTTTGAGTTAATCAATTTTTTTTGTTTTTGATAAAGAGAATTGAATATAAAACGTGTTTTAGTTACCATTCTGAAGCGATATCGGAGCATTAAATGTTAGACGAGCTTTATGGTTACCGTTCCGAAGCGATATCAGAGCGTTAAATGTTAGACGGGCTTTATGTTTATCGATCCGAAGCGATATCGGAGCATTGAATCTCCACACGATGGGAGTGACTTGAATTTATATCTCCACATGATGGGAGTGACAGGAATATAAGTCTTCACGTGATGGGAGTGATAAGAATGTAAATCTCTACGCGATGGTAGTGACAGTAATTTAAAATCTCCACGCGATGGGAGTGACATGAAAGAAAATCTCTACATGATGGGAGAGGCATGAAAGAAAATCTCCACACGGTGGGAGTATTTTATTGATTTTTTGAAAAACAAGACCAAACCCGAAGGTTGCCTACGTATCTCGTCGAAATGAGAATTAGCTCAAGCGTAGTTTAGACTTGATCTTTCAAAATGAGAATCAGCTCAAGCCTACATATCTCATCGAAATGATCCTTTCAAAAGGATCTTCGGTCAATTGTGACCCAAGTGGCCATAGTTGACTGATTTGTGCAGCTAAGGACGAGGAAAACTTGACCCATAACAGGTTGCCTACGTATTTTTACACAAGGTCAAGAATCAGGCATGTGTAGTTCGTGAATATTGGAGAGTATAAGATGTATGATTCACATAAGTCTTTCCTCTCCTATTTTGGCTTTTTGACATATTTGAAACAATGAATATTGACACCACTAAAGATATCTAGAAAAATGTAAGGGTATAGATAAACTCGGAGCGATGCCTCATTGTATCCATGATTGGTTGTGATATCTTTGAAGTTGAATTATGACTCCATCCAGAAGATGTGCCCCAATTGCTCCTTCAAACAGTTGCTTCGATGCCCTCTTACTATTTGTGAGACAGTTGTTGTGGTTGTCTCCCAATTCACTGCATGGACGATTTGTTGCGATCTTCAAGCTCTGAACAGGAGCCTTTTTTACATCACCCCTGCTTGTAGCCAGGGCGATTAAACAAAAGACAAAAATTCCAATCGTGTTAAGTATTAATGATGCAATCGTGTGAAGCAGCATAACCAAGATAAGCAAAAGAAAAAAATTCCAATCAAAGTGTGGCCTTAAAAATTTGAAGAATAATCAAGGATCCAAGGACCTGGATGGCTTCTCAAAATATAACGAAGCAACGACAAAGACAGTAACAATCAACGATTAAACAAAACTAGAATTATCAGTCGCAAAAAGAAACTTTCGTCCAACACAATCATCAGTAATAAAGAGACAGCCTCAGAAAAGTAACAATATCCAAATAGATGTATTAGTAGTAAAATCGTACAGAGAGGAATGACGGGGTCACTAAAGTCAGTCGCCAAGCGATAAAGAATTAACTCGCCGATTCCGGCTACCTCCGGCCATGTTGTCGGCAAGCCAAAACATCGACAGATTGGAACAACATTAAGAGCAACGAATCAATACCCAAAGTGGAGAGAAATAGAGTTAGGTTTAAAAGAGGGTCGCCGAAACAATGGGCCAAATACATGGTTCATCGGAGTTGTATTTTTCCGGCTAAACCCAGTAACAAATGAGTACGCCTAGCCCTTTAATGGTGTACTTGGAACGAAGAGAGACGAGAAAAATAGAAGAAGATAACAAATCTAGGGTCGTTAAAATAGTAAATTCCATCTAGATCTCAGGAAAAATCGACCAAAACTTTGAAATAGAGCTACATATATGAAGGATCATGGTGGGTAGTTCTATTTCAGGGGCAAGATCTATTGAATCCGACCATTTCAGCGAGGTTTGTTGACATTAATGTTCGCTAGTGGCTGGCTAGTCCGGTGACGGGTCAACTTCCATATAGAGAGAGGGATGAGGAAGAGAGGAGGCAGTGAAGTCGCCTGCCATAGCCGGTGATCAATTCCTATGGGCGGGAGAGAGTGAAGTGGCACAACCAATTGGAGGGAATCAGAGGGGAGGTGGCTTCCTTCTTTAGAGAGAATGATAGAGGTCCCAAAATAAATTAGTATTTTCCCACATATAAATCTAATATGGTGTCCCCATTGTATGTAGTGTGTAAGTATTTGTTTTATATAATGAGTGCATGTAAGGAAATATGTCGCCATTATTTTAAGTGAAAAATAAAGACAGTGTAAAAAATAAATATGTGGTCCAAAATGAAACCATCAATTAAACAATTATGGGCCGAATACCGGACACTCTTTAGTTTATCAGTGTAATTTATTTAGCTTATAGGGGAAGGCAAATAGTTGTCTTTACCTTTTAGATAAAGGTTTTACACATTGGGTAAAAAGGGGTGTCATGTCACATCATATGACATGTCACATAAGGTATCGTATTTCATGTTTAGTCACATCAACTGCCATGCCATATCAGACGTTGACAAGACACATGATTAGACCGAACTTGATTCGTATTTTGGAATAACTTCTACCTGCTTTCATGTAATTAATAGATTGTGTTCTAAATTAGAAAACAATTATTTAATTAAAAGATTTTGTAGTGTTTAATTAAAAATATAACTACCACAATTGTGTTGTAGTAATTATTTTTTGTATTTTTTAAAATATGAATAAATTGATAGAATATCCTAATATTTGAAAAATACGACAATTATCAATAAATTATTCGAAATTTGGAAAAGATGCACAAAAATAGTAATATTTAACTAATTGCAATAAAATGATAACAATTCCTGTATTTTGTAAAAATATGAATAATTATCAATAAATTGCATTAGGGTTAAATATGTGCAAAAATGCTATATTTTACCATTTATTTACTAGGAAGCCTACCGAAGTTAATTTAATACGGAGGGTCAAAATTAAGTGTCAAAAGAGGCTGGTACTGTTGCCTTTGTTGATTTTGAAAGTCAGGAGGCCCTTGCCCTGGAGCTCTAGGATTTTGCTGCTGCTATAAGTTTAAACTACCACTTGAAAAGATCCATGAAAAGCCTAGATGTCGCTATCCCATATAGTAGAAATTAATGCCTCCTTGGTAGTTACCTCTGTTGAAATTTTTCACTACATTCACTTCTTCCTATGCAGCGAAGTTTTGACACTCATGTGTTGGGTGTCCCATTATGCAAATATCACACTCTACCTGCTTTTTACTCTGCACCTGGGCCAGTGTCAACTTCTTCATGTCCTTAGCCATAGCAGCAATTTGGGTCTATATTGCAACAAATGATTCTTCTTTGTGCATACATGCTGACCTTCTTCGATCACTTTGGTCAGTAGGCCATTGATACACATCTTCAGATAGTTCATTTAGAAGAGTGACAATCTCTTTCAGAGTTTTCTTCATTAGTAGGCCTCCCACTGCACTATTTAGTATAATTCTCGATGCATGAGTTAACCCATCCCAGAAGTCCTAGAGTTACATCTATTGCTCCATTGTATTATGAGGGCATCTTCATAATAGCTCCTTAAACCGTTTCCATATTTCGAACATAGTTTCTCCTTCTCCTTGGCTGAAATTGTGAATCTCCTTCTTCATTTTTTCCAGTCTTAGCAGTAAAAAAGTTCTTGTCTAGAACTTGGTAGTCATCTCTTCCCATGTACGGATAGATCCTGTAAGTAGACTCCGTAGCCACTACTTTGCATTATCCTTTAGCGAGAAAGGAAATGCTATGAGTAGATAACATCATGTCATGCTCCATTATATCAAAATGTATTCCTGATCTCATCGAAGTCCATCAGATGGCCGTTAGGATCTTCGTTTGGATTGCCTCTAAAGATGCAATTGTTCTGAATGGTTTGGATGGCTCCTTGATTGAGTTCAAAATTGTTAGCATTAATGGGCAGGAGTCTCACACTAGATTGTCATTGGTTGTAGACCGGTCGAGCATAATATCCCAATGATCCACCAGTTCTGAGGGCGGCATTTTCAAACTCATCTTAAACCAAGAATAGATTCAAATTGAATCATTGACCCCCGTACCCTTCGACGATCTCATCAGCTGCTCTAAGGGTTGCTTCAGCTGCTAACCGTGCAACCTGTTCTCTTTGTTGTGCTTCCTCTCTTGCATCTAAGTCTACCCCATCCTTTTTGTTGTTTACCATTTTATTTTGAGTCGAACTCTGACCCAAGAAGGATCCACTTGATTCTTTCTCCTTTCTCAACTGCCGCAACTGCTTGTCAAATTCTGGATAGTGTGGCCCTAATTCTTTGGAAGACGATCGAGTCATACACCATTGAAATTAACCTGTTGCCTGCACACAGATGATAGAAAGTGAAAAATAAAGTAAATTTGTTCCTGAATTAGCACTCTAAATAATTGTGAACACTATTCATCGTGAATCCCCGATAACGACGCCAAAATTTGACGAGTGCAAAACCAGTGTATAAAACTGACGCTCGCTAGTCAAATATAGTATAATTATTAAATCGTCTCCACATGGATTGGTTTAAATAATGTTCAAATAGATCTTCATCTTAATACTATTCAGGAATTTGATTTTGAATTATTAATGAACTAAGAGTAAAACTAAGATTATCAATTATGAATAATTATTGAAAATTGTGTAACTAGGTAGAACACAGGTAAGTGATCCCTGAATTTTTATGGTCTGGTGACCATGGGGAAGGTACATCTTTTAGGGCCGGTGGAGAGGTTGCAGTTGGTGTAGAAGGTGTTGCGGTTATGGTTTGTGTAGAAGTTTATGGCGGAGGAATGTCAGAGGTAGAACTCCTCTGAACGGAAGCGTCAACAGGAGCCCGAAAATGAGACTCAATATTTTCAACTATTTCCATTTCTGTGAAGAGTCATTGAAGTTCTCCCGGTTGAGTTGCTTGATGTTCTCCCGGCTGAGCATCCGGTTGAACTGATGAATATATTTTTCTTCTCTGAAGAGGAACCGCTTCATCATTATTTTCTTCTTTATAAAGGACCACTGTGGTTAGTATAGTTGGAGCTCCTTTTGTTGAAGTCTTTTCTCAAGTCCCAACCGTAGAGGTACATTTTCTCCTTGGTTTCCTGTCTTTAGGCTGGGGACTCTAGGAGGAGACACCTTCACCGGAAGCAAGAGAGGCTACATGAGCCCTCTTCCAGTTGAGGACATCATGCAATTGTTGATGGGCTTCCTTTGGGTCATCGAAAACCACAACAGCAGGGCAAATGGAAGACCCCTTCGGAAGGCCTATGTATTATGAAAGAAAATTAGCAAATTGATTCCAAAATATATTGAACGTCGAAAGGGAAAAAGGAAAACTTTTACCGCTTTCCAATATATAGAATTTTATGTACCCATTGGGCCAGGTTCATAACCATTGGTGGTTCCCAATGAGTAGTTGGAATAAAGAAAATAAAAGTTAGCAAAGAAGGAAATTGTTTTTAAATGTGGTAAGGAAAGGATATCTGAATACTTACTAGTGAAATTTCAAGATTCAGGAATGAAGGGGTAGTTGCCGGGAGAATGTCCCTAGTGGAAATAACAACGAACCTTTCCATCCAGCCATGTCTAGTTTAATAACAACATTGGTCCCAATATTAGGCTTTGTGATTCCATGGACAATTTTCTGGGCAAACATGGTGTTTTCAGAAATATTTCTCCCTTTAACAAAGCCTGACTAATTGACTTCGATGATTCTGTGGAGGATTGGAGCCAACCTTGAACTAATAATCTTGGAAATGATCTTGCTAATAAAATTGTTGTGGCTGATTAGTCTAAACTGTGTAAGGAAATTAGGAAATTCGAATTTTGGTAATAGGAACAGACATGCACCTGTCATATATCTGGGCATGATGCATCCTCCAATGAAGCCCAGGACAACCTGCATCAAATCAAACTTGATGACTTCCTAACAAGCTTGGTAGAACATACCATTCATACCATGATGGCCAGTTGCACTTGTGAAATTCATGGAGAAAACTACACTTTTAGTTCATTCACTGTAGGGTCTGTGGAAAGAGCAATGTTGTCTTCAGGGGTGAACATGGATGGGATATATGAGAGTACTTCTCTGACGCTTCCTCCTGGATCAGAAAAAATCTCTTGAAAGTAGTCACAAGTTGCTTGGCCAATAGCCTCATCACCCTGTACCCAATTTTCTTCTTCATCCTTGATTTTGTGAATTTATAACTCTTCTTCTACCCCTCATTAAGCTATGGAAGTATCTCGATTTTGCATCTACTTCATTAAACCACTGTAGCTGAGTTTTCAACTTAAGGACTGACTCTTCAAGTTTCATGTACTTGAGATATTGATCTTTGAGTTCATGAAGTTTAACTTTGTCATTCTCAGAGTTACTCTGTGCCCATATCACATCTGCATATTTGACTTGTTGTTCAAATTGTTTGACTTTCTGGAAAATATCTCTATATTCTTGTCTGGACCAGATACTTTGAGCATTTGATTGGCTGTAACATCTCTATTCATATCTCCTCCACTAGTGACATGAATTTATCATTGTCTACCCAACAATTGAGGAATTTAAAATATCTCTTGCCATTGTCTTGCCTTACATTGATCTCCATAAGAAGTGGATTATGATCTGAATCTGCTGAAGCTAGATGGGAAACAGTTGTAGCAGGGAAGATAGTCAACCTTTGATAATTCACTAGACATCTATCTAGTCTCTTGGAGAAAATATAATTTTGTCCCCTGCCATTTGACCAAGTGTATTTGTGATCATAGTAGCCAAGATCCACAAGACCACTATCCTCAATCATGCTTAAAATGTACATACTTTTACTCATCTGATAAGGAATACCTCAATTATCTCCTCTATTGATGCTATAACATTGAAATCTCCAATGACACACCAAGGAATAGTGTATATGGAAGATTTATGTCTCAGAACATCGCATAAATATCTCCTCATCACTACCTTGCATTTGGCATAGACAATTGTGAGGTTAATATTATTTCCATCCTCAATATGTTTCATCTCCATAGATATTTGTTGATCAAGAGAATCTAGAACCTTAGTTGTGAATTCTTTGTCCCAGAATATCCAAATTTTGTCATTGATGTTTGAAGTTGCTTGGTGCATATAAAGCTGGAGTTTGAAT